CACACACACACACACACACACACACACACACACACACACACACACACACACACACACCACCACCACCACCACCACCACCACCTTCCCTTTTACTTCTCCCCCCTTAAGGACCCCAGCCCGGGAAAGTTTCATCTACTGCTAATAAGACACAATTTTGGCGCGCTCTTAATTGTGAATGGCAGCAACCGCCTGCTCTCCTCCACGGCATGTGGGCGGAGACAGCATCGGACTGGATGTTTGCATATGTATAACCTCTAATTAGTCATATTTCAGCTAATTGGTTAAGAGAAGGAGGAGTATTAACGCTTGTAAACAGACAAGACAGAGCAGCACAGCACATGTTTACCTATCAGGACATAATTCTTTATGTTAATCTGACTCCTCCTCAGTTAGTTGTTAATTACCAAATGTACATTTAATATAGATGCTTCTGTCTCCACTAATCAGTTGATAATTAGCAAGAGCGGCAAAAGAAACAGAAGAGCGCCACCTAAAGAAGAGTTCACCTTCATCTCATGTGGAAGATTAACTGGTAAACAAACAGTCCAGTTCATGGAGTGAAAGGCCTTGGAACAGGAGTGTGATGTTAGCACAAGACTTGTTAACAATTTCTATCCCACAATTCATCAGAATCCTGTTTAATACTAAAGCCATCTAATCCATAAATCCAGTCTTGTTTCAACCCTCCTATTATCTCACTGACTGCTGAGGCATAGCTTCAGGCACTATGCACTCTTTAGGTACATATGTATGTGTTTAAATGATAAATGCATGCATTAAAATTTCCTTGACTTTTTTAACTGAAATTTATTTATTTATTTAGCTTGTTTTGATGTTAGGTTTTTGTATGGGTGTGTTTAATAAACATGAGCAGGAAGAAAATATATCTGAATGTTTTACATAGTTTTTACATATCTTATCACTGGCTTTATGACAATTAACTTCTTGTATTGTGTGTCATTTACAAGCCACACTAAGCAGCCTTTGTGGAGAAGAATCTGCAGTGCTTGAAAAGGAGCCTGTAGCCATTGACTGGACCCTGATTTGGGGCGGGGGGTGGGGTGGTAAACTGCAGCATTGTAAAATGAGGATTGGCACGGGGGGTGTAGAAGCTCACTCGGCCAGCCCATCTGCTCACGTTTACACCCAGCTGGTAGATCAGGTGAAAGTGCTGGCTGCTGACATCTGATCAAATCAGCCACAGACCGAGCCTGTCATCCTCGCTTCAGAGAGCCCAACACAACACCCACGGCATGGGACCGAGCACAGCGGCGCACCGGAGTACATGAGATTCTCTGTTATTGGCTCCATGGCTGAGTTCTTTTCTCTTAACAGAACCCGGCTATTCTGGCGGAGGACATTGACGAGAAAATAAGATATCAAGAAGTGATCCGTTGTTTTTTTTATTGGTTTTAAAGTGAGATTTCTGTGCATGACTAAAGTCATTATTCTTCACTGAAGGTTGAATGTGGACAATAATGTTTTGCCTGCTTTTTGCCTGTGTATCTATTGGCAAAAAAAATCTCATGAACTACTGGACAAACTCTAATGAAACTCTCAGTAAGTAATCACTGGATGCACATCTGCAATTGATTACTTTAGGAGTCAACTCAGTTCAAAAATGACTTTAWCATCAAAGTGAGATTAAAAAGCAAAAATGGCTATAACTCAATCAGCAATCGATTTTATTGAGGTCAAATTTGTTGTGGTAGTAGCTGGAATTCATCCCTAATTTATCCTCTGAGCATGACATCTTGTAAGAATGCATATAAAACTATTTCCAAGGCTTGACAAAAATATCTAAAACTCTGCCACTTCTCCTAAGATAATTTTAGTTTAAAACGCTAGCATGAAAGTTGGTGGATGATAGGCTCTTTTAAGGAATTCTTTTAATTATATTGAATACAGAAATGTTGTTTTATTGGAAAAAAAATGTATATATGATTTTTTTTACATTGTAATTTTGGGTTTCTCAGCACAAAAACTAAATTAGGTTCACACAAAAACTCCCTTGCTGAAAACCAATTAATCCAAATATGCAAAAACTTAAACACCCATAACTGCTGAATGCAGAACTTTAAGGTGATTCATGCCAACTTCCTGCAGATCCATATTATATTTCAGGCATGTGTGATATAAAATCTGAGCATCCACAGATGTTTATGCAGTGCATGAAATTAGAAGAGGGAGGGAGGGGTGGGCTTTGATGGAGTGCCACCACCGCAGGCTTCACCAGAAGAACATTAAAGGCCAGGAGTGGAGTGAAGTTAAGGAGCTGATAAAAATTTCCAAATTGGAAATTAACACAATCATTCGATCGTGAACACGAGACTGGAAAATCATATCAGAGAGGGCCATCAAAAAACCATTTAGGGCCTCAATTAAAGTTATTACCATTAAAGGATCTGCATCTTCAAAATGCCATGAAAAATTAATAATGATTGCCAATCAGAAAAAATGATCTCTCTTCTCTGAGGGATCGGAGCACATTAGGAAGGAAATGAAACAGCAAGAGGAGGAAAGGATGGGAAAACTGTGTCTCACCTGATCCCTCGCCGGCTTGTGCGTGGCCATGTGCCGCTCGAGCTGGGTGCGGTAAGCGAATGTGTAGTTGCAGAGGGGGCAGGCAAAGTTCTCCTCGTTCTTCTCATGGCGATACTTGATGTGCTCCTTCAGTGATGTCAAACGCTTGTAGCCCCGGTCACAGTAGGGGCAGGTCAACAGTTGGGCGAAGGCATCTGGCGTTCCAGGTGGCAGGTCTGTACAGCAGACAGCAGGAGGAGGGGGAGTGGGGAGGAAGAGGAGGAAGGGGGGAAAGGAAAGCGGGCCAAAAGGTCAGCCAATCAATGGCAGCTAACGGGCGGGCTGCCCAGAGTGGTATGGGAGTTATCTGTTCAATCTGCTCCACATGAGAGCCTCCGTGTCCGGCTGGCATCCGACCTCCTCCCAACTCCTCATCCTCACTTTCTTTCACATAGAACCAAATGTGTCCATGCTAATGTACTTACACACACACATTCACCAAGTTCCTGACTATATTTTAAATGCCTGAAAGTGCCTTCCCACCCACCCCCTCCCTCTCAGTAGATCTTCGTGTCTGCAGCATGAATCATAAACCCGTTCAAATCGAGCTTCAGAGGTGCGCGATCTAATTTCAAGCGCCTGCCCAGCTGTTGCTTAAGACTGTAGGTAAACACCCAGGCATCCGGCGAATCTGTGGGACCAACAGCTGCCCCATCATGTCAGCAGGACGTGCTGCTGCTCTGTCTCCGCTCTCAACATTTTACTGAAACAATCTGTTACTGCAAGCTTTGTGCAGCAACATGAGGCCACATGGACCTTCCATCGTGCTGCTTTGGCTGCCTTTCAAAGTCAGAGCAAATGTTAGAAACCTGAAGGCTTTGGTCGACATTTCTGAGTCCATTTTTTTAAGATACTGTATCTCGTGACTGTTTCAGTTAAAGTTAAAATAACACTGCTAAAACAAAGGTAAAATGTCAGTTTAACAAAGGTCTCGTGCAAAAAGCCATTTTTTTTATTTTGAGGTGATTATCCTGTTAATTAAAATACATTTGAACATTAACTACAATGTCCAATTCAAAAAGGACACCAGTAATGTCCACCCTTGTTATACAGTATCTCTAATTTTTTTTGTGTGTGTGTGTGAAGCTCCATCAACATTAACACTGTTTTACTGTTTACTTTTTATGTGTTTTTCAACATGACTACTGCTCATTTTTTTAAAATGTTCAGCTCAGTCAGGAGATGGGTGTGATGACCTTTGGTTTTGGCAACTTTAATAATGATTTTGAATAGTTATCTTTGTTTACAAATATTTTCCCCAAAGAAACGCACTGAGATCTGCAAAATTCCCTCAACTTCCTTGTTCTCTTTACAATCTGCTTTAGTAAACTGGCTGTTTTTTATTTTATGCTACTTTTAGTAACCGTCTTTTGCTACTTTTGCAAATTTTAAGAAAACCTTTGTCACTTTTACTAAACATTTGTTACGTATAACATATTTTTTGCAAATTGTTGCTAATCTTTTGTTGTTTTACCTAATGTTTTGTTGCTTTTAGCACTTAGCTTCATTTAGCGTTTAGCTAACTTTTTACTATTTGTAGTTTTAATCTAATGTCGCTTGCATTATACTTCAATAGGTTTTAGTGAGCTAATGTTTTGCCAATTACAGTTAGCGTTTTGCTGCTTTTCGCTTTTTGCTAGTACTTTGCTTTTTTAGCTTTTACAGTAGCTATTATTCTATTGCTTTCAGTTTTAATAACTTAGTTTGAACTTCAGATAATTGCAGGTAGAAAGAAATATGAATGGAATTCATGAGGGAGTTTCCAATATGTCTTTTTGTTTGTGGTGTTCCTAATATTCCCATCATAGGGCCTTGATCTTGTGCCATCAAAAAATTTGACCATGTTTGAAAAATATGCAAGATAATTCTTCTCTCAATTGCACGCATCTCAAACCTGTCTGTTTACTTCACATAAATGTGAAGCATCACAACTGAAAGATTTGCCTCAAGTTTTGCTAGAAGTTTGTGCAAACTTGTCATACAGTGTTAATGTGAATTGAAAATTAGTGTATTTTATCACAATTGTGTCTCTACTCCTCCAAAGTTGCAGGACTTTAAAATAGTACCTTAACTTTTTTAGCAATTTTCTTAATAATGAAATCAGTCAAAATCCAAAGAAAGATGAAACCAAATACTAAACCATCCCTATTCTCATCAGAATATGTTAAAAACTTATTTCAGGGTCATAGATCAGAGAAAGGATAGGAATCACTAATGGGTTTTCGTACCATTCTCCTCAGGTCCTGTGGCCTCTGGTGTTCCCAGGCGGCTCAGCTCCTCAGGGGCTTCTGGGTAAATGATGGCCGTGTCGCCACGCTGCAGATACTCTGCAATGCTCACCACATGGCTGTCACCATCGTCCAGCTTCCGCTTAGTAAAGAAGTCCTCCAACTCTGAAGTGCAATCCACGCTCTTGACTGCTGAGAGAGAAGAAAAGAGACGGTGAAGGAAGAGAGGGAGGCGGATGGATAAATTGGATAAATTGGATTCACTTCTTCCCCTCTGAGAAATGTCTTACAGGAGAATATTGGGAACATTGCAGTGGAAATGCGATGAGGATAGCCACCCTGAAACATTACAGCAGTGCTTTGGGGGGAATATATCTACATTACCGGGCTTGCTTGTCATTCCATGTCTGCTAAAACAAGAAATGTAACTTAATTCAGCCAAAAATCAGAGATAGATGTACTACTATAAGCTGCTAAGGAGCAAATGTTTTAGAAAAACTTCACTGACCTAATTTACGTCTGACAGATAATCTGAATCAAAGTTTACACAATCATGCCTTTATCAAAAGCAGAGCAGTATTTCAGTGCATGTGCTTTCACATGAAAGGTCAATCAAGAAGGTATGGTTTTTGTAGGTTCTGTGTAGAACAGATTACCGGTGCCAAACCACAAGCCGAAGCAGAAAAAGAGACTCTGCCGTAGCTGAGCTGAACATGTCTTAAGCCAGCGAAAGTGCTGAGGCCACACAATGTGAAATTATTTCCCAGTCACTTCTCTTCAGGGAACCTCCTAAGCTGCAGCGTGGAGATAGCTGCCTAGAAAATAAAACACAAAAACTAAACCCAAGCTGAAAGAAAACGGCAGCCTTCATTAGTCCAAAAAACACGCACACAAACATCCGACACACACAACCTGAAGAGGGCCTGCTGGCTGTTTGGACCAGAAAATCCGAGTGACGTCTCGTCAACCCCCCAGTTAATGAGACTTTTACACACAAAGCCAAGGTGAGGTTTAAAGAGCAATTTGTTCGGACGTGATGACTCCACCAGCCAATTTGCGAAAGGTCAAGGTAGTAGATATTTGGATGTCAAAAATGGTGCTGAAATGTCACCGGTGCCAATGGATCACTTTTGATACCAGTGATGGCAGAATTTACCTCATTCTCATTAGATGATGCTGTAAAGACCACCAAGCTAATTGAGAGTGGCTGAATGTTGCGTCGATGGACGGATGATTGACCCAGATTCACAGTCAGTTTGAATCTGAGAGATGGAATTGTATTTATGGCCCACACTTAACTTTTGGAACCAATCCAAATCCAATGGCTTCCAAAGCTAATCAGCATTAGCCAACAAAAAATAGCTATGGGTCAGTAAACTTTACAGACACTGAGCTAAAATCTAGGTGGTAGGACATGAGAGTCATCCCCAACACAATACTGCATTAGATCATGCTACAATTCCATCATTTCTCATCATTAGATGATCTTAGTCTAAATCTCTGACATGAAAGGGAGTGGGAAATATGCATTCCTTAGAGAAATGCTAGGCCTGTGATTATTTTATGCTTTTATGCACATATCACATTTAGATGGAAAACATAAGAGTGTTTCTTCAAGGAGAAACGGAGGAAATCACCTGGATCAAAGTGTGCTTTGGCACCACAATGTGACTGAACTGCTCATGCCTTTAAACAAAATCACATGTGATCTAGTGGCAGCGAGCTCTCCCTGTATTGTTTCCAAAAAGTCCTTAAAGCAGTCAAAATGGAAAACAGTTGCTCTGCTTGAATTTAAAAAAAAGAAAAGAAAAGAACAGAGAGAAAACTCCACAATGAGCAGAGACTAATGAAAGCTGAAGGAAGGCTTTAGAGGCAGGGCTGCGTGGCGTTCTGTGGGGTGAGTTTGGTTTACCAGAAAAAACGGCCAAGACCAATTGTTGAGGTGGCCAGGATGATATCATGGAATGTAGCGGGTGTGTGGCTCCAAATCAACCTAACACCTTAAATGCAATATGGCAGATGGAGTTTAGCTCCACCAGTAGAAAGCCTTAACTGGGAGGGCCAGGAGTAGCATGCTCAATCAAAGTTTATAAAAAAAAATCATGCAGACAGCCTGTAGATTTTCCTTGATGGATGCTACGTCAGCAAGAGAAAACTTCTTTTAAACTACAGTTCTCCAGTGGCTGTTTGTTTCTGACTTTTTAGTTTGCAAACCTAAAGACAGCACCCACCTATTGTTGGTACAAACCTATCGAGGGCTAAATCTGCTTGACATTTCTGTTTCTTTGACAAAAAGGTGGCGATTGTGTGATAAAATGTCTGACATGCTGTGCTTCAATTTCATTTTTTCAACAAGGAAAAAAAATCCCAGAAAAGTATCAATTGTGACAAACATCACCTTGACTCCTAACATGTTTTTCAGATTTGAGTTTGAACTCATACACATGCCTGTTTATCACAGGGAAGTTTATTTTTAGTTAACTTTCTAAAACGTTTTGACACCTAGGCTACGTTTAAATGAATGAGCTGACAATGCAGTGAAAATGTAGCTAGTATCTTATTAAAATGTGTCTACTGAATATTGTTCATATATAGGATAAAACTGAAGATAAATTATAAATTTATCAAAACAGTGGCCAAAAGCTAAAATGTAAAAATAATAATAATAAAAATAAATAAATAAAAAACTGCTACAAAGTGCTAAAAATAGCTAAACCAGTTGCTACAAGCCAAATTAAGCAGAGGTCACTAAAAGCTAAAATCAGCAAAACTGTTACTAAGATTAAAAAAAACAGTGCAAAAGGTCACATTTAGCAAAACACAAGCTAAAAGCTAAAGTATAAATGATAAAATAGCTGAGAACTAAAGTTTGCAAAACCATCGCTAAAAGATAATTAGCAAAACTGTAATTAAAAGTGCTCTCTCAGGTAAACTGTTATTAAAAATTATAATGAGCTAGAGTAGACAAAAAAACCTAAAACTGTAGCTAAAAGCTACAATTAGTATAAAAGTAGATTAAAGCTAAAAATAACTTAATTGTAACTAAAAGCTAAAATCATCAAAATCATAAGAAAAACTATTGAGAAAATAAATAAATAAATAAATAAATAAATAAATAAATAAATAAATAAATAAATAAATAAATAAAACAAGCTAAATTTAGTAAGTTGGTAGCTGCAAAATTAAAGGAGCATAAAAAAATTTAAGTTAAAGCAGATTTCAGATTCAGGTTATAAAAGGAATTGAAAAGTTCTCAATGTATCAATGTTAGTATAGCAGGCAAGGTAGATACAATGATAAAAACAAGTGCACCAGTCTAGAATACAATTTTTCAAGTTGTAGAAACAAGAGCAGTGCACAACTTTTAAAAAGTGGTCATAAAAATGTGTGCAGGTTCAAAAACGCCTATAATTTAGTGAGACTTAATTTGCCTGTTTTCTTGTCCTTTTTAATTACCAACTATTTTTCAGCATTTGCCACTAAGTGAACTGTTGGCTTTTGATTGAAGATTTAGATGTTTTTCAAGGGAGAAAGAAATATTTGAACTTACCTGTACCATTTCCAACTGCCTGCATAGTGGTATCAGGCCCCAGGGCGTCAAAATCATCTTTGATTTCATCTGCACAGAAAAACAGAAGAAGACATTGACCAGAGGGTGAGTAATGGGGACAACAAGGCCTTTAAGAAGAAGAATAAGGTATGTGGAAAGCAATAAAGGCACCGCTGTGTGTCGCAGCACGCCGTAGCTTTATTCAGTATGCTTAATGAATGCTATCGTCTGGGCCAGACAGTGACTTATTTACCTTTAACATGACAACAAGCAGCAGGGGAGGAGAAAGAAAGCTTCAACCGCCAAATACAGCGATTAACTACAACACGGAGCACATCCACCTGAGCAATCACAGAGCTCCAGCCAACACGTAGGCTGAGCTTATTACTCCCCGGCTGTGACGCCGCTGCAATCCTCTGCATGCACCATCATGCCGTGTTTCAGCATATGTCATTTTGGTGGACACTTTTATCCAAAGCTGCTCTGACTATTGTGAGCGGACACATTTTTGTGATCCGCCACAAGGCCTGGCAGAGAGCTGGCGCCCCGCTCCTGGAACTAAAAAGAATACAAGCCAACGACCACAAATGAAGAGTTGTAGCTGCAGAAACATTTCTCAGCGGCAGAAATAACCCCCACTGGTTGGGGCAGACCTCAAGTGGGCGGGCCCAAAGAGTCGATGTTTTGAAGTGAGCAACAAAAGTGAGGTCTTTAATTCTAAGTTTCACGTGCAAGACACTGAAGGAGAAAGTGCATTTTTAACCATAAGAAAACAGTTATAACCTAGAGCTCTACACTTGAGCTGGATCTAAGTTTTATTATCGCTTGCTTCTATTAAAGGCAGAAAATCGTGTAAGCATCTGTCTTTGTGCAAATGTTTGTTTGTTAGCTAAATACATCATAAACCCCTGGACAGTTTTTAATAAAACTTTCAGAAAGTAATCATTAGACACACATCTACAATTGATAACTTTTGGAATTAATTCAAGACGGCTGCCAAAGCAATCGGCCTATTGGAAACTCAAAAATGACTGTAACTCAGGCAATTTTACAGATATCAAGCTACAATTTAGTGTGGTAAAATCTAAAAATTATTCTTATCACATAGTCAAAGCAATAAGAGATCGCATAGGATTTTGTTTACAACTTTGGCTTGCAAGACAGTGGGTAATATGCATTCCTTTGTGGATTGCTGGTTTCATTTTGAAATGTTATAGTTTCCAAGTCTCATACTTTCCACTCATTCCACACCCCCCACTCAGAGAAGTGTCCGAGTAACCACCTTTCCACTTTTGGTCCACAAAGCCCAGCTTTTCTAGCCTAATCAGAGTAATGGCATCCATCCTGCGTGGACAGACAGATATTGTTTTGGCACAGGTGAGGCAGCAGTAAATAACTAACGAATTGACAGACTCATAAACAAACCCTCTTCTGACAAATTCTTCCCTTCTTACGGTCAACAGGAGGACACAGATCAGACAATCAACGTAAGATGTCTCCAGTCCCTCCTCCTTGCCTCGTTGGTCCTAATTACATCAAGGTGCTTCCGAGAACATATGACCTTTGTTTAAAAAAATCCTACATTGTGCTCTTTGTTAGCTCTTGCTCTACTGCTCCTACAAGGACATAACTAATTTTGCATTGTGAAGAATATTTATTTATCTTTTCTTAAAGGTAGGTGAGAGCAGAATCTGAAAAATGTGAGAGGTTGTTCGCATCTGTCATTAAAAATCATTTTTAGCTATCCACCACCTTCAGAAGTGGTTTGGACCCCTTTTATTTTCATTTGTTTGGTAGTCTGAACGCAGTCCACCTAGAGCCAAGCTGTTGGACATCCTGTAACCTCACTCAAGCAGCATCTCAAAGTGAAAAAAAAATTAAAAGGTCAGCTCAGTGACCATCTGGTAAAAGATGCCCATCCCTGGAAATATTCTAATGAAACTGCATTTCCCCTCTCTGGGTTTATTATGAACCATTTCTTAATAAAATTATTCATTTTTGTCCAGATTTTATTCACCAAAGTGGATTACAAAATGTATTATGGGTGAGTTTCTCTTTGATTTAATGTTTTTCTGTGAGTAACCTTTAGTGTGCTGTTAATCAGAAAAAAATATCTGAATGTATAGTAGGTGTAATTTTTACAAGAACATCTAAAATGTGTCCTCACAACGTCCACAAAAAAGTGAAACTTGAAACAGATTTGAAACAATAATCTGAACAGCCTCTGACTGTCTGTTTGGTTTCGGATTCCGATTGGACAAACCTGGATGAGATAATACAGGAAAAGGTTGTGGGTGTGTTGTTGATAATAATGTTATCCTGCTTACATTATTCCGCACAAAAGCCAGAAGCAACAAGACTTTTTATTTTCAGCTGAAAACAATGGACTCCATAGTTGTGGAATGCATTCTAGGGTTCACAATTCAGGGTTTGAGCAAAATTAAAGATGTGGCCTTCGTGGCGAGATGATAAATACCCCAGTAAATAGCTTCAGAGAATAATGACAGACTCCACTGCAGGGATATGTTAACTTCCTCCTTGCCAGAACAGCTTTTTTCTCTCTCTTTGGATTGCACATCTTCCGAAACTGTAGTATGGGAAACTAAACAGGTCTTAAACAGTGTTTAAAAACAAAACAAAAAAAAAAACGTATTAAATAAAATGATCATTTCTTAAAGAAATGCACATTACCTGCTGCAGCCTAAAATTAAACAAATTTACTAAATAATTTGGTAGCACTTAGAGGATGTGTTGGAAATGATTCTCAGGCACTCCCAAACCAAAATGTACATTGTACAGTGACATTGTTGTAGCTATAGCCATTTCTATGTTTGCTAAAGTAGATTAGCTGTGGTAGCCATCTTAAATCTGGTTAACTCCAAACGTTTATCAGCTTTAGATATACACAGATTCCATAAATCCTTTCTGAGTTTTGTTAAAAACCATCAGAAAAAGAAAAAGACAGACACATGCAACAACATGATCGCACTACCATAAAAGACGGGCAATCATGTCACTAAATATACCGACAAGTATCAGATATCAGCATATATAAAAACCTCCTCCTTTAGCGCTCTAAACAGAACTCCCTCGCACTTCTGCATCTTTGTAGGCACCGTGTTTGCTCTGGGTAATCAAATTTGACTGCATGCTTTTGGTCTGACGCAAGGGGATGACCAGTGGGATTAACTGGCCCTTCACTCTCCCCTGTTTACCTTGGAAAACTTTTGTTATCTGTGGTTTGAAGGGAGGGATGGCTGCTTCCAGTAGGAGGTAGACTAACACCACATACACCTCTCGGCTGTGGCCTTTGGCACACATACACACTTAGATCTGTGCCCATCCTGGGCCACAGTCAAATGGGACAAAGTATCATTGTGGTGAGGTTGGTTTTATGTGCAGAAATGGCAAAAAAAAAAAAAAAAAAAAAATACAGTCTCTAGCTCCTCTTTTTTTGTCATACATTTGAATCTGAAGTATGTTTTGTCAGCAGTAAATCACACACAACTCAAGGCGGTAAGGTACACACCTCCTTGAAGAGTGATGTTGAGGTCTGCGAGTCGACACAGGGCCCAGGAGGAGTCCGGCCTACCTCTGGCCCGGCTGTAATTCCACCTATTTTCATAGCGGCACTGATGGTGTTTATTTTGAAAACATTCCTATTTTTATGGCCAGTCACTGCAGTCACTCTAAAGTTCTGCCTTTGTGCATTAAGCCTTAGTTACCCTGAATATGTCAAGTTTTAGTAACAAAATCAAAGAATCAAAACAAAGTTAGATTAAAGGTTCAGATATATTTAGACTTACTTGATAAATGTTTGTCCCCACAAAAACAACTTGAAATTGACAGGCATAAAATAATTGTTTTGATTTAAACAAAATAATAGTGAAAAAATCTGATAAAAATGGCTGTGATTAAAAATGAATGATAACATGAATCATATTTTGTTGCACAACCTTTTGAATCAATCAAGTAATTTTTGTAATTCTGCAAAACTGTCCACAGGTATTTTGGCCCACTCCTGATTAGCAAACTGCTCCAGCTGTCTCCAGTTTGAAGAGTTCCTTCTCTGGACTGCATTTTTCAGCTTCTTCTACAGATATTCAACAGGATTAGGATCAGGGTTCAGAAGGCCACTTCAGAACTGTCCAATGCTTTGTTCTTAGCCATTCTTGGATGTTACCTGGGTGCTTTAGCTTGTTATCATGTTGGAGAGCCTATAATCTGTGACTGGGACCAAGCTTTCTACACATTTTGCTCCAACATGTTTTGATAGTCTTGAGATTTTATTATACTCTGCACCGATTCAGGACACCCTGTCCCAGATGCAGCAAAGCAGCCCCAAAACAAAACCAAGCCTCCTCCATGTTTCACTGTAGTTATAGGTTTTTTTTTCTTTGCATGTTTTACTTTTGGGTCTGTGCCAGTTCGCATTTTAGCAAATTCCAGTCTGAAAGTCAGTCAGATAATGATAATGTTTGCAGTCAGTTTTGTGTCTTCCTTGGTTGTCTTCCATTTAGTCCACTTTGGCTAATGTGTGCTGTTTTCTGCATCCCTTTCCTGTCCCTCAAACCCAGACGGCTGGGCAGATGGCTGCCCATCCTGGTCCTGGTCCTGCTGGAGGTTTCTTCCTGTTAAAAGGAAGTTTTTCCTTTCCACTGCCAATGTGCTGCTCAGGATGGGAGACTGTGATAAAGTCTTTTAACACAATCTACTGGCTTCCTTGGCCTGAATGTTTTTTGTTTTTTGTGTACAGTGCCCTGAGATGACATCTGTTGTGATTTTGTGCTGTATGAATAAACTGAATTGAATTGATGGTGAGATCTGACACTGAAGAACCTTGACCTTGGAATTCACCTCTGATCTGAAAGATGCTATGTGCTCTTTGGTTACCACTCGTACAATAGTTTGAGGTTCACTACAGTCCTGCAGACCCTGTACAGTACAATGTACATGTACAGTGGGTTGTTTCAGGCCCAGGGCTTACTTAGAAAAGAGATCTGTGATCTCAATTGGATTTGCCTGGTTAAATAAATGGTTAATAATTATGTGCAGCTGTAGTTACAGGTACATCATCCTGCTTGGAGATAGTCTTAGAGCCTCACAGCTCCTGAGACCACTCTGTTCTTAGCTTTCTGCCCATGTTCAGTGTGGTACACACCATGATACCAAACAGCTCTGTGACGACTTTCACCCTTTAAACAGGCAGAATAATTACAAGACTGAAGACACCTGTGATGCTAATTACAGGACACACCTTAGTTTAACATGTCCCCAAGGTCAAATTAGTTTCAATCTTTTCTAAGATTACCATCATTTATCACTTTCCACATCAATGCCAGTTTTATTAGTTGTTTTTATAAAAATAATTTTGTTAAATCAAAGCAATGACTGACAGCTATTTATTTTCAGTATATTTTCTCATCATTACTTTTGTCAGTTTCAAGTTATTTCAGTGAGCACTGTGCGTACAAACAGATTTATCAACCGTATGTTGTCAATCACAGTTTTATGTGTTTTCATGTCTAAATAATCCAAATCTAACTCCTGGCCAGATACATAGACATCTAAAACACTACACTTATTGTGAAATATGCCTGACTCCTGGACGCATTTGATGTTTAAATGGCAGCTGCAAAACTTGTGAGATGTGCAAAGAAAACAAGAGGCACTCTTCAATCAGAAACAGAAGCCAGATTTGGCAAAACACGTCCAGCACATCGAAACGAGCCGGCTGTGGTGTTAGAAAAGAGTTAAAAAAGAGAGCAGGTGATTTGTTTGAAAACGTCTGTCAGTGATAATGATGTCATGCTTCTCCGGCACATCATGTCCAGCTTCGTAGTGGGACTGAAGAATGTCAAGGACAGAGACAAGATTGTGTCCTGGCGATAAACTTTATTCCCCTTTCTCTCTTACCCTGCCTTGTAAATATCCTCTGAATCTCTTCTGCATGTAGACTACACTCAGATATTGGTGTTTTTCTAAACACTTCCAGAAAAATCTGATACATTCATTCTCTCTTCCAAGACCTGTGTAACAACTCCTGATAGGGGAGTGACGACCAAATCATGAAGGAAGAAGGGAGGGTGCGAACTTATCTCAGGCCTGAGCTATGTGCTGAGGTATCACTGCAGACACTAAGGCACCACGGGAAAAAAAAAGGAGAAGGAGAAGAAGGAGCAGAGCTGGGAAATGCAGCACCCACAAGATTGGGAAAGAGCCTCCCAAACACTTTAATGAACTTGACTTGCTCTCTGAAATATGTCAGCCAGTTTATCACACAAGAAGCATATTATCTGGAAATTGCAACATAGTTGAATTACAGACATTACGGCACCGCAGGTCTTTATCAAATAAACAATTACCGTATGCAGTGACAGCTTGTTTATCCTTTATCTTGATTTATTTACCAAACTGTCTTCTGTTTTTTTCCACCCCTTAAGGACCTGATACGAAGTGAATGCTGATACACAATTTTTTTTGTCCCTAATAAATGCACTACTTTCCCCCCATCTGTATTAAAATTTAAGCCTGCATTTTTTTGTGCACAGCTAGTTCATTAGCAGAAATGAATAGCAAAGCCTGGCTCATTTAAATGGGCTGTCTTACATGACTTCTCTCCATACTCTGTTCCTGTCACATGCTTCCAAGAATCATTGACTCTTATTATACATGTAAATGGCTATCATAAAAATAAAAATTTCATTTAAGATTGTTAATGACTTTTTGCAGCAGTCTGGCTTCCTTTAATGATTATACCCTGCCCCCTAATTAAAAGTATTTATCTTTCAAGCATCCATGACTGGCACCCCCCTTAGAAGGAACAAGGGGGGCTGCTCGGGAAAAAATGATCCGTCAGTCTAGTCTGTGAACCTGCAGAAACTTTAGATTTTCTACATTGCTGTAAATGTCCTGATGCATCTCAGTAATCCAGGTAAAAAAATCAAAAAGAAAGGATTTCATGCAACCTTCAGGTGAAAATGAAGACCCCAAACCCAGACCCAAACCAGTGGTTATTCCGTATGTTGCGGGTGTTTCGGAGAAACTGAGACGTTTATTTTCTAAACATGATGTCCCAGTGGCTTTCAAACCCCAAAACACATTACGGCAAAGACTGGTTCACCCCAAAGATCCGGTGCCCCGGCACAAACAGAGCAATGTTGTATATGCTGTTAAGTGCCAGGAGAACTGCGACCAGTTATACATCGGGGAAACAAAGCAGCCACTGTTCAAAAGAATGTCCCAACACAGACGAGCTACATCTAATGGCCAGAACTCTGCAGTTTTCACTCATTTACAGGCCAGCGGTCACTCTTTCAGAGATGAGGATGTTCTCATTCTTGATAGAGAGGAACGTTGGTTTGAGAGGAGTAAAAGAAGCCATTTTTGTGAAGAAAGACCGTCCATCATTAAACAGAGGTGGAGGCCTCCGTTTTCAGTTGTCCCACCCTCCTACAGCGCGGCCATTGCCAGTATCACTCCACCCCCTGTTAACAATAGGTGTTAATTAGGTGTCAATGATAGCCATGTGATGTGAGTATCAGTCACACGGAGGCAGGGCTTAAAAGCCTGAATTTTGCCTGAAACTCTCAGACTGAAGAAGTCTCTTGGAGGAGAGACGAAACGTTTCATTAGAGAAGAACCCGTCCAGAGGACCTATACAATTTTTTTTCTTATTGCTGTAAATATTTTTTATGTCGAATCAACTGGTTCCTGCCACTTCACTGAGAAACAGTCTGCCTGCCACAGGGGAGCGTAGTCGGGGGACGCCCACGCCAGACCTGGCTCGAGTGCTGTTTGCAAAATGCTTTGTGTCGTTTGTTTATGTCTACACAAGCACCAGATGGGTGGGGTTTACATCGTAAGATAGTTCTACAAGTGGCAGGATGCGCACACAAAGTATCGAAGAGTCGGCTTAGCGTGGGTTCCTGTGATTGGCAGCTCACCTGACGTCCCTGCATCTGATAAAGCAAACCAGAAGCCATTTGAAGCATTATTTAAAGCAACCTATTCTGAAAGTTGAAGCTTTCCTCTGAGTAATACATGTTTTATAAATGAGATGTGGTAGTGCTCAGTGATGTGACTGACGTTCACCTACTACACCAAATTTTAGATCAATATCTGTTAAATTGACTGAGTAATAGTCATTTTTGTGTTTGTTACATTTGATTAGCTTACGCAGCCATCTTAATTTGGACTCACTCTAAAAGTGAAACAGTTGTATATGTGCTTCCAAGGATTACTTTTAAAATGTTTTGTAAAGTCCATTCAGTAATTCCAGAGATACTTTGATAACACACACACACACACACACACACGCACGCACGCACGCGCACACACAAATTCTGGCAAAACATAATAATGCATTAGTCTGCAAAGATGCATTAGTGTCTTGTCCAAGGACACAACAACTGACAGCTGGAATACCACTCTGCCACAGCCGCCCCACAAAATAAATGTGGTTATTTTTGCCATCTTAATTCAGCATGTTTCTGCACCAGACACTCACCGGTACCATCAACCGAGGCGCTCAGGATGTCGTTGTCATGCCAGATGTGTTCAACACCGCTGTCCCGCATCTCGTCGTCGTCCTCGTCCTTGGTCAGCAGGCCGTGGCTTTCAGCGTGTGGCGATGCCTCCGGATTGGTGAGGCTGCCCGGGCTGCCCGTGCCGTTGATCAGAAGGTCCTCCTCGGACACGGGCAGCTTGTCCTCCTCTTCTGTCTCTGAGCCTGTCTCCACCACGTTCTCGTAGTTCAGAGCTGTGTCAGGGAACAAAAGGGATAGAATATTTAAAATGAGATTTTTTTAAACGAAATTTTAAAAACACATAGACACCCTTCGTGCTATTATTATTATTATTATTATTATTATTGTTGTTGTTGTTGTTATCAATTTGCTGTGTTACAACCCAATTACTGCATCTGTGCCTGGAATTTGTGACCTAACCGCAGTGATGGGAGGACAGCTGTCCAGGAGCAGCCAGCCAAAATAGTCACTCATTTTCGGTCCTGCTTGGATGCCTTGGATGCCGACGAGCTGCACCTCCAGAGCATGCTGCTCAGGTTTTACATGCTCCACATACAACAGCACACGAGTGGTTTCTATGCATACAAAAGGCTTAATGTAAGGTAATTAAATTTAATCATTGCACGGGTCCTGTGGATGTGTTCACGTCTGCATTGCCAGTGAACTGAAACTATGACGATAATTAAGGGCCTAACCTTCCTTGAAAAGAATAAATATCTCCCGCCACCTTTCATGCCAAAGCTTTAAAGTTCTATGTTGAGAAATAACAGAGCTTTTTTGGTCAGAACCTGAAAAAAAAAACATTAAGTGTTGACGTTGTCTGTCAGCAACTACTACATTTTAGCTCAATGTTTTTTTTTGGTTCTACCAATTTTAATGTAGCTTAAGGGTAATAACCTGTGGCAACCATCTTGAAACAAACTGACTCATTTGTATATCTGTATAATATATTCTGAATGTTTTGTTAAAATCCATACAGTGGTTCACAAGATATTTCACTAAAAGACAAACATGTGAGGTAGGCTACACACAATAATAAAACTCCCCAACAGCATCAGAAGCACTTGCTTGCTTCTACAGTACCCAGGTCTCTGACATATGTCTGCTTTTCCAAAAATAGACAGCCTGTAAATAAGGACTGTGAACTCAATCAAAGGTGGCTCTCGTGCAAATTTGTCACCGCGCCATCGGCTGTTTCTCAGCGAATACGTGCTGCGGCGTAAATCACAGCCGAAAAAGGACGTCAGTAGACTTATTGGAGCGGCGCAGATGGAGTGCTGGGCGAGCCCGGAGCAGGGCATCACATGGGGACACACCTCATTGGCAGCTTGTACAAGAATGTTCTGTGGTGAGAGGGCCCATCTGGGGAGGACCCGGCAACCACAGCCAGAAGGTGGAGGCTGCTTTTACATTTATTTATGTTGAAGGCAAGAAAGAGAGTTTCTCTGAAAACAATATGTGTACAAGTAAGAACTTTCTGACCTTGTGTTGAATCTATGAAGAATGCACATCATGCCATAGTTTTAGACTAAATGAGTTAGAATTCAAACCTTGACAATTAAAGTATGGGAAATCTTGAGATATCATGCTTAAAAGCTCGTTTTGTAACTAACTCTCAGTTACTACAACACCAATTTTTAGCTTAATGTCTGTATAATTTACAGGATTATGCCCATTATTTGTGTTCTATGTCAAATTAGCTGTGGCAGCCATCTTGAATAGGGTTGACTCTAAAACTATAGTTGTAGGAGGACATCTTGTGGGTATTTCACAAGGTTAAATTAAAATCTATCCAGTGAGATATTTGTCTAATAGGCAAAGTTCAAAATGTTAATAGTAAAGTTTTAAAGGGGCAATATTACGTGTTTCTCAGGCATATATTTAAATAGCATACCATAATAAAGCATCTATGTCACCTTTAGTTGTTATTAAAATGCTGTTTTATGTTTAAATAGAAAATAAACTTATCKTCTCATCACTTCCTCTTCTAAACGCYTTGAAATTGGCCTCTGTCTCTTTAACAACCACCTTCTGCTTCTGTCCCATCCCGTTTGGTGTGGTGGCGGGGGGATCGCGCGTGCGCTATGAAGCAATTTACTTGGCATCTGAAAATACATTTCCTCAAAGATATTTTGAATCTGAAAAGAGCTTCACTGACTGAGAAGTAGTGCTAAGAGCTCAGCAGACAGTTTAAGTTTCACTTTCACTTTGCTTTTGTTACTGCTGAGAGCCTGCAGGAGTCATGGGCGTGGTGTGTGGGGTGGGGAGGTGTGCTACGTGATGAGGAAGTTCAGCTTAAAGACACGTCCCACGGGCGTTTCTGGTCCCAAAAGGCGTTTCTGGTCCCAAAAGGCGTTTCTGGTCCCCACCTGTCGTTTTGCTCCTCAGCATGGCTTCCTAAAAACACTGCAGGATTTCTCAAACATGCATGAATGAGTCAAAGCAAGGCTTTGGGCATGTTTTTGATGAGAGTATAACATTATAACATGACTTAAAACTCAAAAAAGTTGATTTTACATGATATTGCCCCTTTAAACAAAGATTTTTAGCTATCTGTTAGTGCTTGAAGTATGTGTTGGGGGCCACTCCAGTACTAACACATCAAATGTTAGCTCAGTATCTGTATTTACTGAGTTATAAACATTTTTGTGTTCTTTAAGCTCACTTGATTGTGGAAGTCATTTTGAATAAGGTTGTCTCTAAAAGTTATTGAGTTGTAGACATACAGCCAACAATTACTTTCTTGAAGTTTTAATAAAATTAGTTCAAGTGTTTCTAAGATATTTGGCTAACATACCTCACCTATCCACCTCTGCTGTTAAGCATTGAGAGCTAATTAAATTGTCCGTCCCACTGAAGCCTGAAAGTGTCCCAGCTCCTTCCCAGAATCAGGAGGGCTGACCAGATGAAGTCTGTGCACGACATTTCTGAAAACATTATACAAATCAAAAGATAAGCCTCCCCACATCTCCTCCTGACACGTCTCTGTGCGATTGACTGGTCTGCACTTGCCTTCAGCGAACAACTGCACAACAGGTGCAAATTAAAATGAAAACAGGGCTTTCAAACATGGGAGGGGAGGCAGGACGGGGAGGAGGAGTTGGAGGGAGGGTGTGCGGTGACCTGCCTCGAATACCAATCGGTGGAGGAAACAAAACCTTTTCAAGAGGTGTGATCACAAGGGTTTAGGCAAGTTCAGACTCAGTAATGCTCCTTATGGGTGACAAAAAACGCAAACCAGGACTGGAGATGCAGAAGTGGAGGGAGATGCTGGAGTTCCTGGGTGGTCTGCGTCCACCTATGTACAATTGGATGTATCCTTGATTTCCAAATGTCTAAAGACAGACGTCTACCTGTTTAAAGGGCTTTGATTAGGACTCAAGGCTTTTAAAAAAACAAAAAGTTTGGAGTTCTTCTCTCAGATGCATAATTTCAAAACTGTTCTCACCATCAGATCTGTGTCCCCCCAGCTTCCAGAGAAAAAAAGAAAAAAGGGTGGGTGGGTGTGGGGGGTGGTTGTGTGGGGGACTGCTAGAACAAAAGGCCAAGAGGCTTGGGAAGCTATCAACCCGTCCCTGTGAACCTGATCCCTGGATGCAGATTCAATGATGGTGGAGCAGGGGCCGCCTGAATGAAATTATCTAAGGCTGGACAGGTTCTAAAGGGCCCATTCTTTCCCTGTAAAAGGATTCGGGGGAGCTTCTTTTTGTTTCCGAAACACATCTACCGTCCTGACTTCCCACATAGGGAACGAGGGACAGCGGCACTGCAGATCTGACTAACTTTTCAGAACTTTTGGCTATTTTAAGTTTCAAAGACTTCACTTTTTTCCTTTCTCTTTTGCTCATCTCTTGTGAAGTTTTGTCCTGGAGTTTCTGAACAAATGCGAGCACGGGGGCGTTGAACTGTCTGCGAAAGCTACAGTAGATGCAATCTTCTCCGAACGTCAGCTGTCTACCTCCAAGAAGGCAAAATGACAGCGGGGTGCTCGTCAAGTCAAACGCGTAGTATTAACACGGAGAAAGCTGCCATTGTTGAGGTGCCACCGCTGACAGGAGCCTCTCCCTCCCCGAGCATGAAGCATTTATTGGTATTGTGTCACACAACAAAGTAATTCTAACCTACTAATATTTCGCAGGCGGCTATTTCATCTCCCCCGAACTTCACTCCTAATCAGGCTTTTGTGCTGCTTAGGAGAGAAAAAAAGACAAAGAGGAGATAATGTTTACTCCTCAAATGCCTCTTCTATCCTTTTCTTACCTAATGTGTCATCCTTGACAAAAGCAATTACGGATGATGTTTTATTTTTATTTTTTTTCCTGCTACCTGTTTGTTTCTTTTGACTTACAGATAATTAAATTGACACATGTAACTGTGTGATTCTTGTTTAATATCAGGTTTTCTGACATAACCCTTTCACAGAGTTGACATTATTCTGCCACTCAGCCAAAAAAAGAGAAAATGGCGCAAAAACCAATAGTGCGTATCGATCAGAGCGGCTAGAAGCATCAACAATCACTAAGAGAATCTGATGGAAAGACTTGCTGAGAAAAGAAGAAACAAAAGTGACAGAGTTGAAGTGGGTTTAATCTAGTGCCTCAGCTCCAAAATAACTGTATTTAGAAAACATCAAGTTTGACAGCAAACACAGGGTAAAAGCAATCAAAATGCTTTCAGTCTTGGAGTTATTAACTCCTGAAAAATCTACAAATTAGTTGCTTTGGGAGTCTTTTAGGAGTACATGTTGTGTTCAAAGACACTTAAAGCTACTGACTGCTGAATGAAAAAGCCTGTGCCTGAATGTCTGCATTAAATGTATAGGTGATAATGATCTTAAATACTGGTAATGATTTAAAATAGCATGCAAACTCTTATTTATGTTATCAGAAGCTGGTTTAAATCTCTTTGGCACAGCTTATAGTAATAAAAATCTGCAATTGAAGGTCTAAAGACAAACATTTGCAGTAAATTCCAGCCTAAAAATCGGTTCTCTCTACGCTGTTAACCCAAGATCACAGGTGTTCCACCTGCAGGCTGCAAAAGAAAATCATTTCACAATGCTAACAGGTATAATCAGATTTATTTAACAATCCCCAAGTCCAAAACCCACAGGACGCTGTTTGAAACTGCTTGAGTGCCAGAGTCTGAGAGAAACATAGCTCTAGCTGCTCAGCGGGGCCAACAGTGGAGGTGATGGCTGCAGGGAGAATGACTAACACCCACATCGACGCTC